CCTTCCTTGTATTTAAAGGTCATCAATTGCTTTAGCAGAAATAATTTGTTGTTCCCGATTTTTAAAGCATAAAGAGTCTCTAGCTTTTCCCACAATGATTTCGCATGTATCTTGTTCACAATATGGTTGCGAACATTATCTTCAACCCATTGCCGTATATATCCATATACTTGTTGGTGCTCGAAATTCCAATCTTCATCGGATATACTCTCGAGTTTATGAGCTAAAAAAACGGGTAGATGCGTCTTCTTCACGAACAACAAGTCTTTCATCTTGCTTCTCCAAACATTATAATTTCTCTCATTTAAACATATCATCTTGCTCATATTCGCCTCAATTCCGTAACAACCCGAATAATTAACCAAGGCTCTGATACCACTGTTAGCTTCTGTGTGACACCTGATTTGTGTGGTCCCTTTAAAGTAAAGTCAAAAGGTGGTGCACTTTACTTTGTGACCTTCATTGATGATTATTCTCGTAAGCTCTGGGTGTATTCTTTGAAATCTAAAGATCAAGCACTTAGCGTGTTTAAGGAATTTCAGGCCTTAGCTGAGAGACAGACGGGGAAGAAATTAAAATGTATTTGTACTGACAATGGTGGTGAATATTGTGGTCCCTTTGATAACTATTGCAAGGAAAAAGGAATTCGTCATCAGAAAACTCCGCCCAAGACACCTCAATTGAATGGTTTGGCAGAAAGGATGAATATAACTCTAGTTGAGAGAGTTAGATGCTTACTTTCAGAGGCTAAACTTCCAAATACATTTTTGGGCGGAAGCACTTAACACTGTTGCCTATGTTATCAATTTGTCTCCTGCAGTTGCTTTGGATGGTGATGTCCCAGACAGAGTTTGGTTTGCCAAAGATGTTTCTTATAATCACTTGAGAATTTTTAGGTGTAAAGCTTGTGTGCATGTTCCTAAAGATGAGAGATCGAAACTGGATGTCAAAACTAAGTATAGGAGAATTATAATTTTCTTCTACAAAAAGGAAACCCAATTAAGGTAATTATATTGTCTTTTTCTTCAACAAATAGAAAAATCAAATATGATAAGAAAATTACGGCAAACATCTAACAACTCTCAAACCAAACTATTGAAGATATTGACAAAGCCGAGAAAATTGATTTTTACTGTCCTAACAAAATTATTCCAATCCACCTGATTGATGACTGAATGTTTTTTACAATTACTAATATTTTGCCAGTGATGGCAGCGTGGAAGTCAGAAATGGGAGTATCCATTTGTTATCATATTGAATTAGTGAAGCACACATGCGGGTAATTTGTCTTTTTGTGAGGGAAAAATCTTGTACGCGGCTGAAATTTGAATGGTTTAATAAATAGAAACAGAATAAACTAACAACCTTTTGTTCTTTCCAGAATCAGCATTTGTAGTAAAAATTTTAATTTTCAGCTGAAATACATTTTAGAAATTTTTAAAAATTCTAAAAAACTATTTTTTAATTTTTTTATTCAAATCACTCATAAAACTTTCAAAAATAATCTAAACTGAAATTTATATCCAAACACAACTCTAAATTTCAAATACCATTTTCACTCGAAAATTTTTTTGGACCATTTTTTGAAACTTTACAAATCTTATGTCCAAACGCCTACTAAGAGTGCATAAAACCCTTTGGCTTCCCAAGAAATAATACCCTTTGGTTTCCCGTTCCACCCTGGTTTCTTAGAAAAATTAACTTATAACTCAATCTCAAGTTTTAGTTTTCCTAGAAAGAAGGAAAAGCCTTTAGCTTGTGATATTATTGATAGAAGGAAACATGGTTGGCGGAATTGCGCGTGGTCGTCTGGCTGAGGAGAGGAAAGCATGGCGTAAGAATCACCCATATGTGCGTTTCTTAACAGCTTACTTCTGCTTATATAACTTCTTCCTTTTTAAACACCAAAGGTTTGTGGCGTGGTAGCACCTCTCTGTACCTAACCAAAAGTCTTGGGTTCGAGCCTAGCCTGAAATGGAATCACCTTTGGCAGGGTATGTTTTACCCCCAAAGGGGACTTTCTTGCGCGAATCTAAATTATTCAGGCCTCAGGCGGATATCAAACACGGGATGGAAAACTAAAATAAAAGTGTACATTAATGGGGTTTAATTGTTGCTTATGTCAATTTTATTGTTAGGGTTTTGTGGCAAAGCCGGAGACTGGTCCTGATGGCTCTGTCAATTTGATGGTTTGGCATTGTACTATCCCTGGTAAACGTGGGGTAAGTTTCTTCCATTGTTTCTTCACTGCCCCTGTTGTTAAATTTTAAGTAAAGATCAAAAGCCAATGCTACTGGGATTTCTTTTCTTGTCCTATGTTTGTTGTGGACCCAAAATGTATTTATCAAAGGTTGTGCTGGAGGTAAGTACCCAGGTCTCAAGTTCGAGCTTAGGATCCGGTCCCAAGTTCAAGACTGAGAACCCTTGGCAGAAGGGGAAAGGCTAGTATAGCATTTGCTTTAGGCTCCCAAATTTTGTGGTCCAAAAAATTTTAATAGTTAGTTTTCTAATTGTTTTCTCTTAGACAATATCGAAAACAACCTATCTGCCGTTCCAGGGGTAGGGGAAAGGCTACGTACATTTTACTCCCAGACCCCACTTGTGGGAAACTATTGGGTCTGCTGTTGTTGTCATTGTTGTTGTTTTCTCTTAGAAAATATTGAAGTTTGTAAAAAAAAGTACAAAATCTTTATATAAAAGAAAAAGAAAAACTACCAACTTTTAGCAGTAGAAATATTTTATAAATTTATAGTTAAATTTTCATATTAGTAAATAATTTTTTTATAACATCCAAAGTAATATATTGCAAGCACATGACTCAAATCTTTTGTATAACTTAAATTAATATGTACTAATACAAATAATATTACTATATAACATACCCAGTATAAACCCACGTAGTGGGTTCTGGGGAGGGTAGTGTGTACTAGGTGGAGTTAAAATGCTTTATGAATACTACACTATAAACAACAAATATGAGAAAAGACAAAACTAACTTTTGTATATGTGTGGGACATGTATATATATTCTATTAAAAAGGCATAAAGTTCTTGTTAAATTTTAGTTTTAGACCACTAATTTTATTGAGTTGCCTTGTCCTTTTGTAAGGAATGCAAATTCCGATAGAACTCATGGGGTTGAGTCTACTAACAGTTTCAACTAGCTTTGGGCTTAAAGTTTTCACTTTGAGGCTTGGATCTACAAACAGTTTCAACTAGGGCACTGCAACCACCGATACCACGTTTGCTAGCCCTTTATAAGTGACCAATCCAGTTCACCATCCAGCATCCACTTATTGCTTAAGGGATGAACATGCCAACTGGAAACTGAACATGGGGTCTGTTTTTTTTGTGTCAAGAGTAACAATTTTGTACCTGGAGAACTTTTAGGACATTTGGACGAAAGAGAAAGTTTGGCTTCATGGTGTTTGAAATATGTCCTTTTTCTCATTACTTCCAGGTGAAACAGCTGAATGACTGAAATCCACGGGAGCACGAAATCTGCTAAGTATTCATCAATTTGATCAATCTTAGAGGTGTAAATAGTGATGATATGAATGATTGTGTTAAATTTAGACCTGAATCAATTTGCTATTGTTGCGCGATGGACATTCAAGTCCTTGGAGTACACTTAGAATTTTGGGGATACAGAGAATCCCTTGGCAATGATATTTGGATCGAATCAGAGTTCATGTTGTTTGCCCCAAAAAGTAGGACTGAGCAACAGGCCGCGCACAATCTATCCCACATTGCTTGTGAAAATGCGCTCTCTTTCTCTGACTCTTGAGTTACTGAATCATTTGCCTTTTCTTTTCAAGTCTTTTAGTTTCTTTTTTGGAAATTTAGGGATTGGGTTAAAACTAGATATTGTTGGTTTTTCCTGGTACGGCATTTTGCTTGTGTTTACTGTAATTCAAATCCCTTATTTCCCCTCTCTTCACCCTATTCATTCAATTGATTATCAAGAATAATGTTACAAATTTTGCGACTGGCACAGACTGACTGGGAGGGAGGTCACTATCCACTGACGATGCACTTCAGTGAAGACTATCCTAGCCAACCCCCGTTGTGCAAGTTTCCTCAAGGTTTCTTTCATATTAATGTCTATGGTTCAGGAGATGTATGTTTGTCTATCCTCAATCCAAACAATGTAAGTACTTGTTGCTGCCATTGTGTTATTTTGTGTGTTGCTGATTGGTATTTACAGCTTTCAATTGAATCTATGGATTCTTAAAGTCGCAATTACCTTTCTTTAGGGGTGGAGTCCAGCGATTACAGTTAAACAAATTTTGGTGGGTATCCAAGAATTACTCGACGAGCCAAATCCCAGTTCTGCAGCTCAATTCGACTGTAATAAGCTCTTTATGCAGGTATTGTACTTGAGATTGACGTGTATTTGGTCAATTTCCCACAAATTGGCATTTAAATTTTTGACATTCAACACTTTCGCAGATTATTTTCTTATATCTAATCCTTACAATGTTGTCAATTGCCGTATTTGAATCATCTATGCATATTGCCTAGTAACAACCAATTTGTAGGGTACTTGAAATCCATGATACTTGTAATTCTAGCCAATACTTGGTTGTAGAAGGGAAGTGATGATTAAATGGATTCATATTTTAATTTCTAGTGAAAAAAATCCTTAATTTCCCTCTTGCAGTTATGATAAAAATTATGCATTTGGTGATATAATTTTGTATGGAAATAACCTCATAGATTCGAGACAAGAGTGTTCCTAGATTTAGCTGAATTGACCGAATAGATGTGATTGTCATTAAAAATAATGTGGCTATCATTTTTTGCAGGATAAAGCTGAGTACAAGAGACGAGTGAAGGAGCAGGCAAAGAAATATCCAGCTCCACTCTAATATTAGCTATGCTTTTAAACTGTGTATTTAAACTTGACTATGGGTAAACTTTCTCTTAATTCTTAGCAACGTCTCGTTGACACAGTGGTTCTGTGGCTACCGCAGTCGTTCAAATGTGTATGTGGTTGGAGAATGCTCTCCTGTGTGGCTAATTCTGTACTATTTTAAAATTAAATGTTAGTGTTCAGGACCTCAAACTCTAAGGCTCAACATTTGAGAGTTAGTGGCGTTTGGACATAACAAATGTGAAATTCTGGAATAAAAGTGAAAAAGAATTTCAAGCTGAAAGAGTTTGTGTTTGGACATGAACACAATTTGGAATTGTTTTTAAATTTTTGTGAGTGCTTTGAAGCGAAAATTTTAAAACATATTTCTGGAATTTCTGAAATCGAACTTTAAGTGAAAATTTAAAATTTTCATGGACAAATGCTAATTTCGAAAAAAGTGAAAGAAATTTCGAAAAAACTGAATATTTTTTTATGGTAAAACTGGCCCTTAAAATTATGATCAAAATGAAATATGATGTTTATAATTATTTTGCTGAGGACAAGAAGAAGTAAACCTAGCTATATGAAATCTCTAACAAGTGATTTTGTGTAAACACTCGGAATGAGTTGTGACTTAAGATGATGTGATTAGTAACCTTCAAAGTGGATTGTAATTAGGGATTAGTGGACAATTTAAACTTTATCTGTGTTTAGCATGATAAAATTATGTACAGGAAAACAACCGGATTAATTTTTATTTCCAAAATCCCCTATTCAAATGTTACAATAAAAAAAAAATTCAACGTTTACTGAATAAACCATGATATAAATTTTTTATTTTAAGGGTAATAGGCCTTGATTAGTGAGAACCACAGGAACTTGTTATATTTGGAGGCGTACCAGGTGCGAGAAACAGACCGGATAAAAAGTCCCCTATGACCCTTCTTTTAGTGGGCGTTTGGATATAAGAATTGTAAAATTCTGCAAAAGAGTGAATTTCTTTTTCTATTTAAAAATTAGAGTTGTGTTCGGACATAAGTATAATTTTTGGTTGTTTTTGAATTTTTGTGAGTAATTTAAGTGAATTTTGAAAAATAATTTTTTGGAGTTTTTTAAATTTTTGAAAAATTCCAGAATTTATTGAGTGAAAATTGAAAATTTTATGGCAACAATAATTTCGAAAAAAAATAAAAGCTTTTCGCAAAAAATAAAAAAAATTCATGGCCGAACAGCCTCTTAATTAGTGTTATGTACATAATTTTTATGTTGGGCGTTTTCGACATATATTTGATAATATCTCAAAAAGGTAATATTTGAATTTAAGTTGTAAAAAGGTTTTTGGATATATATATATACAAATAATTACGTTTAAGGTATTGAAGCTTTTATTATAACGCCCTACCTAACTACTTAGTAAAACATTGACAAAGCATTTGACTGTTTGTGTCCATATATGTATTGACACGAAGAATTTTATTTTATGTCTCACACAACTGCCATTAGTTGTATGAGATAACTCTCATAGTTTTATGGATTCAGATTTTTATGAACTCAGAAGTATAAGATTGGGGTCCACAAATTTGTGAGACAAAAAGAAAACTCGTACAACTAATGTAAGTTGTATAGACACAAAATAAAATTTGTCATATTGTCACACAAAATTATTGTAAAACAACTTGCTATCATCCATTCGTCCAAATTATGCTACGATGCGAGGTGTTTTCCATAATTGATTTAAAGTGTTTATATACCTTGAACAGAGGGTCTATTGAAAACAACTTATACACCTTCACAAAATAGAAGTAATATTTGAATACACATATATTATTGTTATTGTAACCTTGACCATCACCTCGAATCTTACCAATATGAAGACTCGAAACATTTGTACCCTAGGCTAGCATTTGGGTGGCCAGATTTTGGCCCTCTTTTTATCTATTTCATACAGAGTAATTGATTTAAATTTGATTTACTCTATACTGCTAATTATATCCAAAGAAAGTAAAAGAAAACAATTTCTGCTCTTTGAATCTAGGAAGGTCAAACTTATAGATAATGTGAAACCTTTTAGATCCAGCAAAAACACACCATATAGGTATAGGGTGCTTAATTATTTAAAGCATGATTTCCCTTTGCGCAAAAGATGGCCACTTTGCTCATTATTGTTTAGCAAGCGGATGGAAGATTTTGCACATATATAATATTTTTCAATGAGTAAATCAATTGATACACGAAAAAATTGATACAGTTTGAAGGAAGACGTAAAACTCAAGATTTTAAAACAGTTGATATTAAAGTGTAAAACACAAAGCTATGAATTGACTTACACTTAGGTTGCAAAAGAGATGAACTTCTAATAAAAATCCTCAAGTGAAACACAAAAACTGCTATAAATGGAAAAAAAAAATATCAGAAAAAAAGAAAGAACAAAGGGAGGCGAACTCAATGAGGCTTTTCACTAGGGTTTTATTTGCCTTATATAGAGTATTCTATGATACATGCTTAGGAATAAGGGCAACGGGCAAAACACTCAAATACAAAATATCATAATTCTGGGCAGGCAAGTTGGTCTGCCACAGTATTAAACAAATAGATATATATTAAACTAGAGAGATCTATATCATATATATAATAGTATTGTGTAGTGGACGCTTATTTGTTTTATTCATAAAATAGTACAGGACCATGCATGGTTGGCAGCTGTAATTAATTTACTATATGAGGACCTCCAAAAATAGATACTCTACTATTAAATCTTAGGAAGAATCTGTTTCTATCGATTTTTATGGAAAATTTCGTGAGTTAGGGAATTTAATTGGGGTGCTTCCTTTATAAAGTTTGTAGCATTACCAATTTAGCATTTATATATTCCAAAATAAGACTTCAAGATCAACTCCATTAAGTAGAAACCAATGTTTTAAAAGGTGGGGGCGTGAGGCGAGGCGTTTTACCTTTGACGAGGCGATTTCAAAACGTAAGCCCTGAGTTCTGAGACATGGGGTGTAAGTACCACGGATTTTTAAATTTTACTAATTTCAAGAATTTTAAAATAGTATAAAATAAAAAATAATTATAAAAATAACATTAAAATCATAAAATTATAACAAATAATATATTTAAAATATTTATAAAGTATAATTCAACTATGAATAATACAAAAAGTATAACATATATCATAAATATGTAAATTAGCTACAACGTCATTACAACTCAAACATCAAAAGTTATGTATTCGATACGAAATATATATATATATCTTAAGGACTAATGAATCTTGAAAGAATTTCGATATTATAATTTGATATTTTTCTTAAATACTCCTTTTATTTAATATGCTTTCTACTTGAAAGAGAATTAATATAAAAACATAATTCACAATTTCAATATGATTCTCTAGAATAATTTATTTTTAAGTTTCAACAAGTTAATAAAGTGACACATAATTCACCATACAATACCATGATAACTAATTATTCGTAAATAGTTACTAGCTAATACTGAGTTATTAAATTATTAAGTATTGCATGTCGTAAACGTGAAAAAAATAATATTTAGAAAAATAATTATAAAAAATAATGCACTATTATATAGTAAAGACATAAAAAGTTAATAAATAAATACTTTTTAAATGAAAGATTTATTTAAAATTAACTATCATAACAATCTTAGTGGATAACGTACAATAATTTTTATTTTATTTATGATATAAAATACTCTCAACTTAATGATTAAGATTAAGGAAAAAGTAATTTTGAATAGTTAGCGATTTATTAAGAAAATTTGAGGATTTACAAGGTTAGTTACATTTAATTGCATAATGTTCTATTAGGCAAGCCTAGTACGCTGAGCGTTGGGCGTGTCCGGGGCGTAAACCCCGATGACCGAGGCGTAAGTCTCACGGAACTAAGCCCCACACATAAGCTCAGGAGCGTTTTACGAGTGCTCCGTCCCGGGGCGACTCCCAATTCTGCCTTTTAATTTAAAAGGTAGAAACTAACGAGCAATACTTGTGTGTTTGGTAAAAAAATTATTTATCGAGTAAAAATTTTCTTTTATTTACACTAGGCACAACTTTTCTTTTGTATTCAAAAATTTTCTTTTACTGGAGAAAAATGAGTTTTTGAAAAAATAATATGTTTTTAAGTTAAATTGAAAATAAATCAATAGCTTTATCAAATAGTTCTTATCTTTCTTGAGCTACCAAAGATTGGGCTAAGTGCACCAGTAGCCATTTTTACGCCCATTGTTTAAAATATATTCATAATTTATGATGTATTTAAAGATTAGCCAACTCACCCAAATTTCAGGACTAAGTATCCTGAATTTGGACTTCAAGACTTAGTGTCTTGAATGTTTGAGCTGCTAATTTGAAATTCAGGATTAAGTGTCCCGAATTTCTGAACCGCTAATATCAAATTGAGGACATAAGATTCAAACTTCTGGACACAATTTTCAAACTTTAGGAGAGGATGTCCAAGAGTTTAAACCTCAAAATTCAAACTTCTGGATATTGTGTCTCAAAGTTTGAGCGAATTGACTAATTTTTAAATATATTATAAAATATAAATATATTTCAAACAACATATTTAAAAATGGCTACCGGGTGTCATTTCCAACCAAAGGTTCGTTGCTGGTTTTCACAAAAGTCCACCTTATCATATTTGGGGCTTGAGTTTTCTTCATCATCCAATCCAGCTTAAAAAGGTTCTACTATTACTTTGCAAAAGATCTCTTGTATCCATTTTCTCTTTGAATGATGGATTGTCTTCTAGTCCGTATTTGTTTGTATACTCTAATTTTTTTTAGGGAAAATAACATTGTATAGCCGCTATATATATACAATTCTATGCGTTATATACAAAAAGTATATAAATTTTATATATTAATGCGGCTATCAGATGTAAATAGTTTCGTGGGGTAAAAGTGATCTCTTTTCTTATCAGTTGAATGAGATTGGTCGCATATTAAAAGTATATAAACATTCTCTTTTGAATTAAAAAGCTGGAAAACCCCTTTAAATTGCCTCTTTTATGAAGTTGCATAAAGCTAGAGCCCATTAGGACAAGAAGCATGTTTTATGCCTCTACCACACCATGTATTTTCTGTTTGTTGAAAGACAATACTGGTCTGAGTAGCTATCAGCTACTACGACCATTATATCAGGACAAGACTCTGAATTGCATTTTCCAGTACTGGCAATGTACATTCCCATACACAGCTCTATTGATTCAATCTATTTCATCCTCTTGAATTATAGTTACAGTTACACCAATGAAACCAACGACGTGATTTACAAATCACAGCTCTGAATGTTTACATACGCACAAAATAGGGGTTGATTCTAAATCGTTGATCTTGGGTCATTGCCCTGGAGAGGACTAATGTAATTCCATGAATAATGGCAACCAAAATCTCAAGGTATTTTCAGAAGTGTACTGCTTTCACTCGTCGAAAAATCACTTGATTGAGAGCTAGATAGACTAGCAAACTCAGAGGAATGAATAGACATTGCATCAGTAGAATACCATTCTGAGCACAAACTATCTTTAGTTAATGAAGACCTACTTGTTGTATCTGGAGGGGCTAGTAAACTTGAGTTTTGGAATGGAGGTTGCATAGGCACCGGAACTTCAGTTTCTTTGTCTCTTAGGATTCTTACCACTTGAGACATAGATGGTCGCGAAAATCTTCTGGTTTGTGTACACAATAGCCCTAGTTGAAGCACGCGTGATGCCTCCTGTTCTTGAAAATCACTCATCAGCCTGCTGTCGATGGACTCAGTAATCTTATTCAACTTGTAGTTTCTCCACACCTAATACAAGAGGTAAAAACTTATGCTCAGGTAATGACAAAACAATTGCAACAATTAAAGGAGGACAACACGAATTGTGTGACCAACTCGTCTAAAAGCTTAAGCTGTCAGAGAGAGCAGACTTTTAATTATTTAATTATATTATGTCTCCAACACTCATGAAATGAAGATGGATTTGAGACTTACAGATTGTAGAACTGATCCGGAATCACTCACAAAGACATTGTTCTTTATACAACACGCGACCTCTATAGCCACCACGCCAAAGGAATAAACATCTGCTTTCTCTGTTAAACATCCTTGAAGAAGATATTCAGGAGCTAGGTATCCCCTACAGCAAGATTTAATCATATTATCAGCCCTTTAGCATATCTTCAGCTGATTAAGTATTTTTGGATAAGTAATTAATGTATTCAATCTTCTGAAGGGTTCTTTTGAAAAAACAAGTACTAATATTTCTCTTGAAATGTACTCTTGGAGAGACTTGAAACTACGTATTTTGAATACTGATAACTTACAAGGTTCCTGCAACTCCAGTACTGACATGAGTTTTATGGGGAGCAAAACGTCGAGCAAGTCCAAAATCAGCAATTTTTGGGATGAGTAGTTCATCGACCAAAATATTACTGTTTTTAATATCTCTATGGATTATCTTTGCTTTGTTTCCTTCATGCAGATAAGCAAGCCCTTCTGCTATTCCCAATATGACTTGAAACCTCTCCGTCCAGCTCAAAAATTGACGTTTGTTCTTATCTTCAAGAAAAAGCAATCAAATTATCGTATCTGCTCCAAGAAAAGGTAAAATAAAATATAGCTACTTAGGCTAAACATCAAGTATTGTTACCAAAAAGCACTTGATCAAGGTTCTTGTTAGATACAAAATCAAAAACCAGAAGACTCTCTGGTCCTTCTATGCTACAACCCAAGAGTTTCACAACATTCTTGTGTTGAATACCACTGATCAAATTGACCTCGTTAAAGAATTCCTCTGCCCATTGGCGCGTATTGTACAATAATCTTTTTACAGCAACAGTTTTTCCATCAGGAAGAATCCCTTTATATACTGAACCTGATCCCCCTTGGCCCAACTTGTTTAACGGATCAAAACCGCCTGTTGCTTTTTCTAACATTTCGTACTTGAAATTTAGTTTCGATGTCTCAAGAGCCCGTGGAATCTTATGAACCCTCTTTGTACCTATGTATATCACGAATAACCAGAAGATCCATCAGAACATGAACAAACAGAAATTAATAGAGAATTGAAGATTTTGAAGAGAACAGAATGTGAATTAACGAATATACCTCCTTGCTCCTTAGAATATCTTCTATAGCCTAAAAAAGCTCCTAAAATAGCAAATATTCCCAGGATAGTCAATAATACAATCGCTGCAATTATCCACATATTCTTACGCTTCGTTGGTCCTGGGAAAGAAAAATTGAACAAGAGATCAAAAGTAAGCTAGAAATACCCAAATGCCGATTGAATTTGTTAAGAAAATGGACCTTAGTCCTCACTCAACCCAAAAAAGTTAGCTCATAATGTGAGCATTGCCCAAAATCATATAACGAGCCAACAACTCATTCCTTCAACTAATGTCACACTATCAAACACTCCCCAGCACCCCTCAGGACTGGACATTTGGACCATAGACAATATAACGTGGAGCCCCAATGTCAGGTAAACCAAGAATAGGAATGAACCTGACTCTGATACCGTGTTAATAATATGGCCTTTAGGCCTAACTCAAAGCAAAAATCTAGTTCATAATGTAAGGATTACCGAAACCACATAAAGAGACAAACAACTCGTTCCCTCGACTAATGTTTGACAATCTAGCAATTTTTTTATTCTTATGCGACTTGTAATTTTTGTTGTTGTTACCTTTATCAGCAAGGACTAGTGCTCCATCACCGAAGAATTTATTAGAAGAGTATCTCAAATAGCAACCAGCATTCATAGCTTTTCCTTCTGCAGCAGGCAAACATTTTCTTATCATATCTCCAGCATTATTCAGGCACTTAGTACATATTTCCACGTCCAATGAATCCCAACATTGGCCTAATGCATAAACAGCAAGCAGCCCGCTTTTCACAATCGTTGCCCCAAATCCTTTATTTACTATAGACATGCTTGTGACATTCGCAATTGCACGATCCACTCTTGCTGCAAAATCCCTTTTCATATACTGATCATTCGTTATATCCGTCGGAACACCACAAACAAAACTAGAAGAATTCTTCTGCACGCTCTCGTCGAAAAAATCATAATTTTCATATCTGAGAAAACAACCGTCTAGATAAACAGAGCCACCAGGTGCAGGAATGCATGTGTTGAGCTTATCCTTAGCTTCGACGAAACAAAGTTTGCATTCGTCCTGAGAAAGATCGTTATGGCATTTCGCTAATCCATAAATATCAGGTGAAGTAGAGCTCACGGAATATGTTGCTGACTTATTTTCCGAAATGAAATCATTGAGAGTTCCCATGATTTCCATGTATTTTGGGAATAAATCGCTGTTAATTGACACATTTGTACGAGGTTTACAAGAAATATTAGCAACAGAAGTTCTTGGATCACAAAGACAAGGAGAAAACAGAAAAATGAAGAAAATTAAGGAGATGAACGTGACATGTTCAAGGTATCTTGGTGGAAAATGCATTAAATCGAAATAGGAATTGTTATTTTTAATGTATAAAACGAAAGGGATAACGATTGATTTTGACCTAAGTTACTCTATTCCATATGAAATGAAATTGTTACATATGTTCAAATGGTATTTCTGTAACAAATAAACATATTTGGACGGGGCAAGAGAAGGATTGAAAAGATTAAAGTCAATGTGTATGGAAATATCTTAGGGTTGAGTCTTCAATTTTCTCCACCTCTTCTTCTTCTTCTTCTTCCTCTCTCTTTTTATTTTATGCAAATACACATAAAAATGCATAAATGTATTGTAAAATTAAAATTTGCAGAGGAAGAGAGAAGAAAATAAGGGGGCGTGCCCCGTTAGAGGAAACTTGAAAGTAATGTCAATGATTTCGATCCGATTTTAATTTGTTCTTTTTCAAAATAGAGAGTTGAGATAATATAAATGTCTAATAACAATTTCCACGTTCCATCACTACTAATTTGTTCTTAAATCTTAATTAATGGCCGTAATAAAGTCATTTAAGGTGTTGGATTTTGAATATTTTTATGCTTTCTTTTAATCTAAAAATCATTTTGTTCATTTCTATTTAGCTTAAACTATAATCAGGGACAAATCCACCTTTTTCGCATTTGATGAAGCCTTACCGTCGTTTTTATCTCGGATTTTAGACATAATAGTTGAATTTTTATTTATTTGATGCTGACGTGCACCCGTTGCTATAAATAAGTAGTGAGTTGAAACTTGAAACTCATTTAAAATTATGAATCAGCACCCAAAAAGCTATTTGGAGTTTTAAATAGCCAGATTTACAATTGGTCGTTCAAAAATAGTCTAGTTTCAAAAGTAATTGAAATTTAGTCACTTTTCATGTAAAGATAAATTTGAGCGAAAACACTATTCAAAACCCGGAAAATACGTCAGTATATTATACTGGAGTTCCAGCATAAGTATGCTTGAACTCCAGCATATTATACTGGAGTTCCAGGATAAGTATGCTGGAACCGCAGCATAATATGATGGAGTTCCAACATAAGTTGTAATATCCTATATTTTTAGTAAGGGTGTATTGGTCATTAGCAAATAATAAAAATAAAAATAACTAAAAAAAAAGAGGGGGCCGAAGCCCAAGAAATAATTGATATAGGGCATCGTATAGAGTTTGGGAATGGGTAAAATTCCAATTCTTTGCAATCTCAAAGAAAAAGAAATAAGAGTAGGAGAGTTGAGGCAATAAAGCTCCTGCAAACAACAAAAAAAAAATCGAAGGAACAACAAAGTTGTTGGTAGCAAGTTCACATCTATAAAGAGGAAATCAAGAAGGTCTTTACAGTGTCTAGCGATCTGGTGCCGCAAGAAAGCAACTATCAGCGGAGTTTAATTCAAGTTTCAAGGTATTTTTTTTGTCCGTTAACGTAGGTATATCCAGATTATTTTGGCTAAAAAGTGATATTGATAACTGATTATATTGAGTTTCGAGTGAATTGTAATGAGATTAGATTGTCATTATTCTAAATTGAAAAGTAATGAATCTATTAGTCATGCTACCTTAGTGGAAAGTCTCTGAGGGCTTGCAAAACAGTACGTGAAATATTGCAAAGGAATTGAATTCCCAAGTATCTGTATAAGCCATCTATATACATATTGACATACACATAAGCAAGAACCAATTTCCTTTCCAGTTAAGTTCCATTAAATTAATTAACAAAGAATAGATGATCATATTCCGAGGAGTGAAAACAGAAAAATGGATTAGATTTGACAAGATCTGGAATCGATTATATTGGTAGTTCACGAAGCTTATACCTAGATTGATTTTGTAACAGTATAGGTCATGAAGAAAGTCACACGAAGTGATCGCAAGTGACAAGTTTATATTCCGGCTCGATTACTGTGAGTAGTAATCTTATCGCAATTTGTGTTTTCATAACTTGCATGATTTACACATAATTTTTAATATGAATATGTTACTGATTATTTTAAGTTACATGTGGGACAAGTCTTTTACTAGATATGATACCGAAATAGTTATTGGAGAAGATTACCATTGTTTTAAATATTTTCATTTGTCACTAGATCTGTTTTACCGTTACTTGAATTTACTGTTATCGAAAAGAAATTATATGATTTGATAAGAACCGAAATGCCCTATATTGTTTTAAAATATTTTCTATGAGTATATACGGATTACAGAGACAAGTATAAATGGGAGTAGACATTGAAGGATCCCGTAGCTAACGGCGGGTTCGTTAGACCTGGTGCACCTTGTATTTACCGATTACAGAGTACAGTTATAGTCCTCGCTAGTGGAAAGGTAGAACTAGCATACCCTTACCGATTTCTTTCGAGTAGAGACTATCGTTATATTTGACTTCTTGCGAAGAAGTCCACAGTTTTACCGATTACATGATTCGTTCATTGAAACCTCCCAAAATGTGAATACTGATATTATACAATGGTTACCGAGCTTATTACTGAATTGTTAATTATATTTTACTACAAGAAAAGCGTGATGAGACTGAAAATTATTTATTGTTTCTGAAAGGACATTTTTATGTTGTTTTCTGTTTGATATACTAGCATGTTTTCTGACTTGTCCCCAAATTAAAAACGGTTGTGGTTAAGTGTTATTACTCACTGAGCTAGCGATGCATTCCCCGCAAATCATTTTTACAGAGACAACAGTTGACGCAGGCGAGAATCTCGTTAATTAGAGCGCACAAGTTGAGAATTCTTGGTGAGCCTCGCATTTGTTTGCGTGGGCGGAGATTTTATCAATTGTTATGATCCTTTCTTTGAATTCTTAGAGTCGCTCCATAGTCATTCTTTTAGTATCATGAGTATTATTTTGCTATTAGTCTTATGTCGAGTATCATTCTTTATTTTTAAAGTCAGAGATAAATTAGTATTTCTGGTTGTTAGTGGGTTCATTAGTAATGGTGAAGACTATTTTGGTTAATTGATAAGTTGTCGATTGTTGAATTGCTATTAAGATGTTTGGTTGCTGATTTGAGACAGGGAAAATTTTTGGGATAGTCCAAAAACAGGGGAAACTCTGTTCGATTTTCTGTAAAACACCGATGAGGCCTACTTGGGAGCACTTACTCCTAAGCGCCGGAATTGGGCCGTGACAAAGTTGGTATCAGAGCTTAGGCTTTAAGTCCCGAGACATGGAGTAATGTTTAGTAGAGTCTTGTTCATGGGTATGTCGGCGCCCATACTTATGATCTTGAGGCTACTGAACATCTACGAATGTTTTCCCTTCTTTCATTCTTTGATCGTGCATTGAGATAACATGAGATTGACTTTGGTATATTTCTTTCACAGATGGCTAGGACACGCACACCCTCATCTGCTGGACGTGGTGCTACCCGGGGTGGCGGTCAAGTTGGGGTTCATCAAACTAGAAGACAGACTGCTCCTCAACCTCAAGTTGGGAACATGGGTCAAACCCAAGATGTTATGCTAGATCAAGTGCAAGAGCAGGGAGTTCAAAACGCTCCACCACCAGTGCCAACTGTTGTACCTACTGTTGCCTTACCTGCAGATGCAGTGTCAAGGTTATTGAATGTGTTAGAGGCATTGGTGCCTACTCAGGGGGGAAGTTCAGCTCCTCAGGCTACTTTACAGACACAAGTACCTGCACAGACTCAGACTTTCGGGAATAAGGAAGTATCTCTACAAGAGTTTCTGAAATTGAAATCACCAAAATTCACAGGTTCCGATAATTCATCAGATCCTCAAAGTTTCTTGGATGGGACACTTAAGGCATTATGTGCTCTTGGATGTTCTAGTGAGAGAGCCGTGGAGCTCGTAGCATACAAACTAGAGGATATGGCCAACACATGGTATAAAACTATATTGTTAAGAAGGCCAGTAGGAGCAGCACCACTGACATGGTACGAGTTCACTAAGTTGTTCAAGAATCATTTTCTTCCAGACAGTCTGATGCAACAATATGCTAGAGACTTTGAGAGATTGGTTCAGACTCCAGATATGGATGTGTTAACATATAACACTAAGTTCTGTAAGCTGGCTATATATGCTCCTTACTTAGTGCCTATCGAAGAAGCTCGAGTTCAGAGGTTTGTGGATGGATTGGTTGGTCGTCTATACACTGCAGTAGCCCCACAGATGAAGACTTTATCCTACTCTGATATAGTCAACCTTGCTAGAAAGATTGAAAACAAGGGACGTGAAGAGCGTGCAGCTAGTGATTTACGTAAAAAGGCCAAGACATGAGGGGCTTTCAGTGGTGGTTTTAGTGAAAATAAAAGAGTAGGAAATCAGGGACAACAACAACAACAACAGGGTTCTCAGACAGGGACTCATATGTCTTCACAGACCACATTCTAGGACTTATATGTCTTCACAGTGCTTTCGGTGTGGCCAGTTGGGACATCACTTGAGGGATTGCCCTCAGCCTCCGAAAAATTTCAACCAGGCTTCTACTCAGTCAGCTACACCGACTCAGACTACTCGTAATACTTCAGGTGCTATAGGTACATGAAACAAAGGTCGGGGTGCTGGAGACCGTGCTACTATGAATCAAGGACAAGGAAATGTTGGTAGAGGTCAGGCAAGAGTTTTTGCATTTACTAGACAGGATGCTCAGGCCTCGAATGCAGTGGTTACATGTATTCTTTCTGTTTGTTCATTTGATGTACTTGCGTTAATTGATCCGGGATATACTCACTCCTATGTGTCCTCGTACTTTGCTTTGAAATTTGGTAGACAACCCGAGCTATTGAATGATCCTTTTCTAGACGCTACTCCTATTGGAGAGTCTCTATTAGTTGAATACGTGTATCGTGCTTGTCAGATTCGGGTTAAGGGTAGAGATACTCTAGCTGACCTTATTGTACTTGATATGATTGACTTTGACATGCTGATGGGAATGGATTGGTTATCTTCTTACTATGCTATAGTCGATTGTTATGCAAAGATAGTTTAAGTTTGAGATACCAAATAAACCCAGTTTTATTCTAAGAGGGAGTCAGGTTCCAGAGACTTGCAAAATTGTATCTTTTATGAAGGCTCAACGACTTCTAAAGAAAGGTTGTTTGGGTCTCTTAGCTATTGTAAATGATACAAGAAAGGAAACAATTAGTATAGAAAATGTACCAGTAGTGAGAGAATTTTCTGATTTCCTGAGGATTTACCAGGATTGCCTCCAATACGAGAAATAGACTTTGGTATTGATTTGCTACCTGACACACAACCCATATCGATACCCCCATATTGAATGGCACCAACAGAGTTGAGGGAGCTAAAGCAACAAGTACAAGATTTGTTAGATAGGGGCTTTATTAGACCTAGTGTATCACCATTGGTTGCACTAATACTGTTTGTAAAGAAGAAAGATGGATCCCTGAGAATGCGCATTGACTACAGGCAGTTGAACAAGATAACAATACGTAATAAATATCCTTTGTCTCGTATAGATGACATGTTTGATCAGTTACAAGGATCTGCCCACTTTTCAAAGATTGACCTCCGTTCTGGTTATCATCAACTTAGAATAAAAAATGAAGATATTTCTAAGACTGCTTTCAGGACTCGATACGGGCACTATGAATTTCTTGTGATGCCTTTCGGACTGACAAATGCTCTAGAGGAATTCATGGATTTAATGAATCGGGTGTTCAAGCCGTTTCTGGATAGATTTGTAATAGTATTTATTGATGATATCCTGATATATTCTCGTAGCCAAGGAGAACATGAGGATCACCTCAGGACTGTGTTGCAGACATTGCGAGAACATCAGCTTTATGCTAAGTTCTCGAAGTGTGAATTCTGGCTAGACTTGGTAGCATTTTTGGGGCATGTTTTATCCAAAGATGGAATTATGGTAGATCCTAAGAAAACTGAAGCTGTGCAGAAATGACCAGGCTTACTTCTCCTACGGAGATTCACAGCTTTTTAGGCTTAGCAGGCTATTACAGGCGTTTTGTGCAAGTTTTCTCTAGAATAGAAGCGTCGCTGACCAAGCTAACACAGAAAAATGCAAAGTTTCAGTGAATGGAGGAATGTGAGCAGAGCTTTCAAAAACTCAAAACATGTTTGACAACTGCACCAATATTAGCCTTACAATCAGGTTCTGGAGGATTTACAGTATTCCGTGACGCATCGAGGGTGGAATTAGGATGTGTTCTCATGCAAAATGGTCGTGTTATTGCTTATGATTCGAGACAATTGAAAAAGCACGAGCAAAACTATCCTACATATGATTTGGAGATGGCTGCAGTGGTATTTGCTCTAAAACTTTGGAGACATTATCTATACGGCGAAACTTGTGAGTTTATACTGACCATAAAAGTCTAAAGTATATCTTTCAGTAGAGAGATCTAAATCTTCGGCAGCGTCGTTGGATGGAACTACTCAAAGACTATGATTATTCTATTTTGTATCATCCTGGAAAAGCCAATGTGGTGACTGATGCATTAAGTAGAAAATCTATGGGGAGTTTGGCACATATAGCCCCTGCAAAGAGACTTTTGGCCAAAGATATTCAGAGACTAGAAGATACATGTATCAGATTTAGTGTCGAAAATTTAGAGGCATTGTTGGCTTGTGCTCAGGCTAAGTCTTCACTAGTTGAGCACATTAAGGCCATCCAATATGAGGATGAACGATTATGTAAATACAGAGATGAGGTCTTAGCTGGTAAAAGCAAGGATATGATTGTTGAAAGTGATGGTGTTCTTCAAATGGGTGACAGGCTATGTGTAGCAGACATAGATGGGTTGAGACATGCTATTCTTAAAGAAGACCACAACTCTAAATACAATATACATCCTGGATCCACAAAAATGTACCATGACCTGAAGCAATTTTATTGGTGGGAAGGTATGAAGAAAGATGTTGCTAATTTTGTTTCTAGTTGTTTGACTTGTCAGCAGGTCAAGGCTGAGCATCAGCGACCCGCAGGACTACTACAACAAATTGAGATTCCAGAGTGGAAATGGGAAAGAGTTACTATGGATTTTGTCACCGGGCTACCACGAACCCTTAAAGGTTATGACTCGGTATGGGTGATTGTAGATCGACTGACGAAATCAACACACTTTTTGCCGGTGAAGACTATATATGGTGGAGTCAGGTATGCACATATATTTATGAACGAAATTGTCCGACTTCACGGAGTTCCAATACCCATCATCTCTAATAGAGGATCACAATTTACCTTACGCTTTTAGAAATCTTTTCAAGAAGCATTGGGTACACGAGTAAATCTTAGTACTGCATTTCATCCACAGACAGACGGGCAGTCTGAACGTACTATACAGATCTTGGAGGATATGTTGAGATCTTGCATTCTTAAGTTTGGAGGTAGTTGGGATGCTTATCTACCTTTAGCTGAATTTGCTTACAACAATAGCTTCCAGTCCAGTATTCAAATGGCACCGTACGAAGTATTGTATGGTAGAAGATGTCGCTCTCCTATTGGATGGTTTGAAGCTGGTGAGACTAACTTATTGGGACACGACCTAGTACGAGAAGCTATGGACAAGGTCCAGTTGATCAGACAGAGATTACTTGCAGCTCAAAGTAGACAAAAGTCTTATGCCGATAAGAGAAGAAGAGATTTAGTGTTCACAATTGGGGACAAAGTGTTCTTACGAGTCTCCCCTATGAAAGGTGTGGTGCGGTTTGGGAAAAGAGGCAAGTTGAGCCCCATGTTTATAGGACCGTATGAGATACTAGACTGAGTGGGAGCGGTGGCTTATAATTTGGAACTTCCTCCTGAGTTATCTTTTATTCACCCAGTATTTTCATGTATCAATGTTAAGAAAATGTATATCAGACTCATCTCAGGTGCTTGAAGCACCAACTATACCACTTGATGAGAAGTTGTCTTACGAGGAGGAACCGATAGCTATTGTCGATAGGCAAGAAAGGAAGCTACGGTCAAAAGAAATTGAGTTCATAAAAGTCCTATGGCGAAATCATACAGTTGAAGAAGCTACTTAGGAAATAGAGGATGTTGTGTGAGTCAAGTACCCCCATTTGTTTCAGTCTACAGGTACGTACTTAAGTTAAATTCGGGGACCGAATTTTATAAGGTGGGGAGGATGTAATACCCTATATTTTAAGTAAGGGTGTATTGGTCATTAGCAAATAATAATAATAATAATAATAACTAAAAAAAAGAGGGGGGCCAAAGCCCAAGAAATAATTGATATATGGCATCGTATAGAGTTTGGGAATGAGTAAAATTCCAATTCCTTGCAATCTAAAAGAAAAAGGAATAAAAGTAGGAGAGTTGGGGCATTAAAGCTCCTTCAAAAAACAACAAAAAAAAATCGAAGGAACAAAAAAGTTGTTAGTAGCAAGTTCACATCTATAAAAAGGAAATCAAGAAGGTCTTTATAGTGTCTAGCGATTTGGTGCCGCAAGAGAGCCACTATCAGCGGAGTTTAATTCAAGTTTAAAGGTATTTTTTTTATCCATTAACATAGGTATATCCAGATTATTTTAGCTAAACAGTGATATTGATAAGTGGTTATATTGAGTTTCGAGTGAATTGTAATGAGATTAGATTGTTATTATTCTAAATTGAGAAGTAATGAATCTATTAGTCATGCTACCTTAGTGGAGAGTCTCTGAGGGCTTGCAAAGCAGTACGTGAAATATTGCAAAGGAATTGAGTTCCCAAGTATCTGTATAAGCCATCTATATACATATTGACATACACATAAGCAAGAACCAATTTCCTTTCCAGTTAAGTTCCATTAAATTAATTAACAAAGAATAGATGATCATATTTCGAGGAGTGAAAATAGAAAAATGGATTAGATTTGACAAGATCTGGAATTGATTATATTGGTAGTTCACGAAGCTTATACCTAGATTGATTTTGTAACAATATAGGTCATGAAGAAAGTCACACGAAGTGATCGCAAGTGACAAGTTTATATTCCGGCTCGATTACTATGAGTAGTAATCTTACCGCAATTTGTGTTTTCATAACTTGCATGATTTACACATGATTTTTAATATGAATATGTTACCTATTATTTTAAGTTGCATGTGGGACAAGTCTTTTACTCGATATGATACCGAAATAGTTATTGGAAAAGATTACCATTGTTTTAAATATTTTCATTTGTCACTAGATCTGTTTTACCGTTACTTGAATTTGCTGTTATCGAAAAGAAATTATATGATTTGATAAGAACCGAAATGCCCTATATTGTTTTAAAATATTTTCTATGAGTATATACGGATTATAGAGACAAGTATAAATGGGAGTAGACCTTGAAGGATCCTGTAGCTAACGACGGATTCGTTAGACCTGGTGCACCTTGTATTTACCGATTATAGAGTACAGTTATAGTCCTCGCTAGTGGGAAGGTAGAACTAGCATACCACTACCGATTTCCCTCGAGTAGGGACTATCGTTATATTTGACTTCTTGCGAAGAAGTCCACAGTTTTACCGATTATATGATTCGTTCATTGAAACCTCTCAAAATGTGAATACTGATATTATGCAATGGTTACCGAGCTTATTACTGAATTGTTAATTATATTTTACTACAAGAAAAGCGTGATGAGACTAAAAATTATTTATTGTTTCTGAAAGGACATTTTTATGTTGTTTTCTGTTTGATATACTAGCATGTTTTCTGACTTGTCCCCAAATTAAAAACGGTTGTGGTTAAGTGTTATTACTCACTAAGCTAGCGACTCATTCCCCGTTATTTTTTTTTACAGAGACAACAGTTGACGCAGGCGAGGTTCTCGTTAATTAGAGTGCACAGATTGAGAATTCTTGGTGAGCCTCGCACTTGTTCGCGTGGGCGGAGATTTCATCAATTGTTATGGTCTTTTCTTTGAATTTTTAGAGTCGCTCCATAATCATTCTTTTAGTGTCATGAGTATTATATTGCTATTAGTCTTATGTCGAGTATCATTCTTTATTTTCAAAGTCGGAGATAAATTAGTATGTCTGGTTGTTAGTGGGTTGATTAGTAATGGTGAAGACTATTTTGGTTAATTGATATGTTGTCGATTGTTGAATTGCTATTAGGATGTTTGGTTGCTAATTTGAGACAGGAAAAGTTTTTGGGATAGTCCAAAAATAGGGGAAACTCTGTCCGATTTTCTGTAAAACACCGATGAGGCGTACTTGGGAGCACTTACTCCTAAGCGCCGGTCATGATCCTGAATTGGGTCGTGACATAAGTACACTAGAACTCCAGCATAATATACTGGAGTTCCAGCAAGTATAATTGTCCAGTATAATATACTGGTGTTTGGAGCACCGGTGCTCCAGTCTCCAGTATATTATACTGGAGTCAGCAAAGTATACTGGTCCAGCATAATATGCTGGAGTTCATACATAGGTGCACCGAACTCCAGTATATTATGCTGGACCGGTCTCTATTACAGCAAAATAGTGACTATTTTTCATTGACTTCGTAAACGCTGACTATTTTTGAATGATCAGCCCGAAAACTGGCTATACCATGTTATTTTTACGTTTCTTTGGGGTTGGCAATTTGAGCCCAAACCCGTTCGACCCATCTAATCCATCTAAAGTTGGGCTGGTCATTGACCCGATCATATGTTCAACTCAGCCCATCTAAAGTTGGTCTAATGCATGACTAACGTTACTAAAATATCTTAAAAAATAATTCTTTTTCGGAAAAGGGCCTAAAATGCCCTTTTACTATATGAAATAGGACATGCTAGTCCTCCGTTAAAAGTTGGTCTCTATTCTGCCCTTGCCGTCAACAAATGGGCTCGTATATGCCCTTCATCACTAACGAGAGACTCATAAAGCCACGTGGAATATATGTGAGGGCAAATTAGACCTAATTCAAATTGTATAGGGGCATATATGAGTCAGTTATAATAGTCATTTTTCAAACACTTCACAACTCCATATTAGTTTACTTAGACACCTATTTGATAACACCAAACTAATCATCACAACAAATAAAAGCTAAGTCATAGACACAGACATTCAAATAAACGGCAATGACTTCATTAAATCCTTGTACAAAAACATAAAGCTTCATTACATAATAAAAGACAACAACTAAGACACAATAACACTAAAATTACATATTATTTCTCACTAATCCAAAGAACATAATAAGACATCCTAATATCACACACATGAAAATCTACATTTTCTTCCGAAATTTAGCATCAAGCACAATTGAGTACTCTAAATCGGTCACTTTCTTCATTAGGACATTTCTTTCCAATTCCAAGACTTCTATTCCTCCATGATCGATGAGCATCATAACATTCTCAAGATCAAATTTTCCTTTGGAGAGCATTTCTTTCACGGATTAGAGCTTCCTTTTCCTTCTTTAAACTACATATGAGATTTGAAACTCTAGGAGGAAGCTCTTCATCTTGCCATTCCCAATAAGAATATTTTTCATCCTAAAAACCAAAAATAAATAAAACAGATTTACAAGCAAATCGGAATAACTAAAAGAACCTATCAAAAATATTTCTTACCTCATGGTTCAGGCACTTGAAAAACCTTCTCCCAGCATTTAAAGGTGTCCATGCCATGAAATAATTGGTAGTAAGTCCGTAATGACACCTCCTATTCGACCCCTTTGAGTTACTAGAACATTCCGACATTGTCTTTTGTTATGATTCGACCCATTTGAGCTACTAAGATTTAATGAAGTCATTACCGTTCATTTGAATGTTTGTGTCTATGACTTAGTTTATTTGCTGTGATAATTAGTTTAGTGTTGTCAAATAGATGTCAAAGTAAACTGATATGGAGTTTTGAAGTGTTTGAGAAATGACTATTATAACTGACTTATATATGCCCCTGTACAATTCAAACTAGGTCTAACTTGCCCTCACATATATTCCACGTAGCCTTATGAGTCTCCCGTTAGTGATGGAGGGCATATACGAGCCCATTTGTTAACGGTTAGGGCGGAATAGAGACCAACTTTTAACGGAGGGCTAGCATGTCCTATTTCATATAGTAAAGGGGTATTTTAGGCCCTTCTCCGTTCTTTTTTTGTTTGATATGTTATATATGACCATACAGAAGAAAAAAAATCTTATTTGATAAAATAATTAATAAGAAAATAATACACATTAATTAAAAAAGGCTTAGTAAGAATTTGACGGGTTGAACTATGACACAAATTTTAGCCCATCTGACCCGCCCATTTGTTGACTCAACCATTTTAATCCGCCCATAATCAGCTCAACCCGCCCATTTCACACCCCTAAATCCACCTTTGACTAAAATTAAGTAACATCATGGGACTTGAGCTGAAGCATAAAGATTATCGCAGAGGCAATAAGGTAACTGAATTAGAATTATATTACTCTCTCTGTTCCAGTTTATGTGAACCTATTTCCTCTTTGTCTATTCCAAGAAAAATGACTCTTTTCTAAATTTGGAAACAATTTAGCTTAAACTTGCGATTCTACCCTTAATGAGAAGCTTTTATAACCATACAAATACTCTGGGGCTCTTTTTGATTTGTTTAGGACCACAAATTCCAAAAAGTCTTTATTTTTTTTTAAACTCCGTGTCCAGTTAAACAGGTTCACATGAATTGGAACGGATGATTTAATTGTTAGCAAGACAAAATTGTCCGATTAGAAACATTGCGGAAAGAGATTAATTCCTCTAAGCTAAATTATTCAGAAAAATGACCATATATGCTTTCCATATCAGCAAACTGCATGTTTTCTGAAGGTTTCCAGTGACGTTTTCGCTGATTAATGAACCAATTGTTAATCTGCTTCGGATCTAAACCTGTTGATTCAGCTAGACATATTTTCTGTCCTTCCTGCATTCACCAAGTTCAATAACTGTATTATTCACTTTTTTTTTTTTTCACACAACAATATATTTTTACGTTTATCAATATTGTAACTCATATAAATATTTGTACAGCATCTCAAATGAACATCAAATGTGTTTACTGATGGTGAGTTTTCATTATGAAGTTTTTTTTTTTCTTCTTTCTATCGAGATATTTCTACTGAAAATTTCAAAGTTTTGGACTCGATTAATGAGAAGAACAACACACACATATATATAGAGAGAGGGGTCCTTGCTTCAGTAATTTTTCTATGATTAATATACAATTACATAAGGGATGTATAATGGAGTTTAAACGTTTGCTTTTACCAAATAGGAATAATACTTTATATTTGAGCGGGATTTTAATCATATATATGGGTGTAAGCATTTAATTAGCATATTATAAGATGCTCAGTATAATTTTATCCTATTTTTAATTGCTAGTATAATATCTCTATTCACGAAAAATAAAAATGGTTACCGTAGGATAAGGCCATTTGTAGTGAGTGGTCCACCAGTCAAGCAAGATTTGCCTTGCTTCTTTTGGGAGTTTTCCCTTCTTATTCTTCTTGCAAAATTCTTGCTTTAGACTACTTATATATCCACTGTACTTACGCATTAACTTATCCTTAATTTCATTCTCTGATCTGCACATATCATTTGTATTTCCACCACCACCGCTTGTATCCTCCTCCTCCTCCAACCCCGCCGCTCCTTCATCTTTTGAAACAAATTAAAGTACCCATCACAATTAGTGTAGTTAATTACATTTTCTTATGGCTTCGAAAACAATGTAACAACTGGGAAATGTAAAAACAGATAATAGTTCATATTACGAAAATAGTCAAATTTGTCTCTCTACTATTAGAAATTGCGTAATTTTGTTCTAATCTTACCCTTGCATAGTTTTTTTTTTGCCTTAATCCCTAAGAGAACTCCAATCTAAGGATAATTTAAACCATAGACAAAAGTTAAAGGGGTAAATCTGAACCTCTTTTTTGTTGAAAGAATAAGCAACCCCCACTTCCAACCGAGAGGTTGTGAGTTCGAGTCTCCCCAAGAGCAAGGTGGGAAGTTCTTGGAGGGAAGGATGCCGGGGGTCTATTTGGAAACAGTTTCTCTACCCTAGGGTAGAGGTAAGGTCTGCGTACACACTACCCTCCCCAGACCCCATAGGACCCGTTTGGCCATATATTTTGTTAAAATATATTTGGAATTTTTTTGGCAAATACATGTTTGGCCATATATTTTATCTACATTTTGGCAAATTCCCAAAATCCAAAACCCAAATCCCAAAACTAGCTGGTTTTGGCCTAAAATATCAATATTATATTTTTTTCTAAAATTACCCCAAACTTTTATATTTTATAAAAGAGCCCACTATTTATTATTTTGTAACAAAGTTGTTTCATCTTCTCGGTCATCTGATAGTATATTATGTAATTCATTATAAAAATTAGGGGTGTACAAAAGAAACCGACAAACCGCACCAACCCGATAATCCGAGTCAAACCGAGAAAAAGCCCCGACTATGGTTTGGTTTGATTTGATTTGGTGTTGGAAAAAAGAACCTGATCATAATTGATTTGGTTTGGTTTTAACTAAAGAAAGTCAAATCGAAACCAAACCAACTCGACATTACATATATATAATATATAAATATACTTATTGTGGTGTAAATTCTAAATATTTCTTAAAAAATTTCATAATTTTGTCTTTTAAGGTGTTATTTAAGGTTGTACTTAGAACTTTTGAATGTTCCAATAAGTTTTATAGTCATTAATATTAGATATCTATTTTTTGTTTTGCAATAATTTAGATAAAGATGCATAACCTATTTCTATTTTGTCTTTAGTGTTTAGTCATGTAACTAACACTCCCTTATTAGTCTACTTATTTTAGAATGACTCAGTACTACTATATTATGTTTATTTTTATTATGGCTTTTTAATTAACAATATTTATATTACATAATTTTATTGTCTTTATTGTTGAATATTTAGGATAATGTCATGACACATCTCATATTTTATATTATTTTCTTGAAAAATACTTTATATAGTTGTATCTTACTAGGATTAAAGAAATATTTTGAGCACAAGTTATATGCTTTATTCTACAAAGATTTTATTGGAAGAAAACCCGAAAAAATCCGAATAACCCGAAAATCCGAGAAAACCCGAGATTGAAAAATTCGAGTTTTATTGGATTGGTTTGGTCTTTAGATTTAATAACCCGACACAATTGATTTGGTTTGATAATTGTAAAATCCGAACCAACCCGACCTATGTACACCCCTAATAAAAATGATAATTTTGCACCAAATTTATTTATATTCAGGACTATGATTTTGCAATAATATAATGAATGTTATTGATAAAGGTACTGTTGGGTATTTGTGATATTTTTTAGAACTTGTGGGTATAAATCGTGTTTCATGTTTTTTTTTGAAAAAAAGAAGTGAAATATGTTTTGAAAACTTATGTCCAAACACATTTTCATCTTCAAACCAAACTTCACCCAAATCAGATTTTTCAAAACAAATTTGAGAATCTATCCAAACACTAGCTTAATTGCTCAATTTAACTACTCCATTTGTCCCATATTATGTGAAGCATTTTTTTTTGTCCGTAAAAATAATCTTTCTATATATATTTAAAAATAATTTATTTTATCCATATAAGAAATCACGCAATAATCTATGATTTGTTCAAAATTTTCAATTTTTTTTTTATTTTCTTCTTAAAACGTATCGCATATGATGATAATTTGGACATTTTCGTGATATTATGACCACTTGGGTTTGGTAACTGCATAAACCCATCACATTGTAAATGTGACGTTCATTGTGAGTACTGAGGAGAATATATACTAACATAAAAGGACAACAAGAGGGTAACTTTTTATACAAAGGCGTAGGTTCGTTTTGTCGTTTCAGAGTCAGTGAATAGGAAAAAGATTGTACTACTACATGGTTGCAGCCATTAATCTAACATAACCCGCATTCTACGCACTCCTTGATTTTTTCATATGTTGCTCAGTACCTATCTCATCAGTTCATGTGTAATCACCAATGAGCACTAAAATTATTTTGGCTTAACACTGTTCTAAATAGCAGACTTGTAAAACATATATAAAGTTAGATCAAGCTCTTATACGAAAGACACCATGAATTTATTTATCAAAAATAGAGAGGAGTTGTAACCCCCCCCCCCCCCCCCAAACCCCCCAAACAAATTGTTTTTTTATCGAAATTGAAGTGGTGATAACCTATGAGAGGTGGTTTGGTACATGAGATAAGAATAAATTTTTTCCGAATAAAGTTTGGGATTAACTTTATCCCATATTTGGTTTCTAATTATCATATAACTTTTACACTAAAATGGGATATCCCACTCCATAGAATATCCTGAGATATTCCACCTTTGTACCAAAAGAATACTACAAACATCTAAATTTTATTAGACATTTAACTTGACATATGGAGTACTCAACTTCTTGTCATGTTTGGATGATCACTTAAAGCCATTTATACATTGAACATGCATGCAACACACAAATTAAAGATATTACACGGAAAAAAAAAAGGTTCAAAGACATGCAAATGTAAATAAATTAATTAAAAGAGGAAGCTTAACAGGAAAAAGAGAAGAAAACAGCAACCCATTTAATATGAAGCAATTTCGTTTTCTTTGGGCGTATATATGTGTTAAATAAGTAAGAAAATTATGTAGAGTGTCTGATTCGAACCCTTACTTTGATAAAAACAGTTGACTTAGCCCTAGAAATCCTAAGTAGTCCTAATTCGGAAAACTAGCAGAAATCCTGCATGCAAGGAATGCAATCCCCCCTTTTTTCGAAACTAGAGAGGTTTCATCATATATATGAGCTTTACACTAAGCAGTTAGTATTATAAAAATAGAGTGTCATAATCTTTCGACTGTTTATCTTCAACAATACATGGAATAGCAGCTTTTCTAGACTGGATGATAACTTAAAATAATCAAAAGACCATACAATTTGTAAAACCATTCCACCTAGCTAATTAACCAAAACAACAAATTAAAAACAAAAAGTATCAGACATTGAATTGAACAGCACTTCATTGTGTACTAACTGAATATCTTTATGCATATGGCCACAAACTTTGCTAGATATATCAGTTATAAAGCCTTAAAGTAAAGATCAACAGACATTCATGAATCGAAGCTTGAAACTTATTGGATGTCTAAGGACGACAAGATCATGCAAAGCCATGACAATGTAACTTTTTCTTGTACTTGTTTCTGCCACAATATCACATGCTCACTATAATTAACAAGATTCCCTCTGCTTCTGACTGCTTAAGATGAGGGTTAAGAAAAGGCTCTATTTAGTTTAGGATTTATTTATTTAATTTTATGTGCATTAGAAGTTTTGCACAATTCCTTCCAACCAACGTCACTATTTCTCTTGACAAAGTGGAGGTGATACTTTCTTTCGAGGGGTCTAATTAAGAGGATTTCTTTACGGATTTTTTTTTTTTTTTTTTTTTA